CAGGTCGATTCCTTCCTTCCTTCCTATATATATATATATATTTTTTTTTCTAAAGCCAGCGCAGACCAACAGCTTCTGGTTCATGCTTAGGGCTCATGTACAGTCAGTTCTTTGGGCAACGATGTAGTGTAGATTCTAGATCCCAGGCTGGTGTGGATGACGCCACTCGTGATGGTTAAGGATGATAAGGGCGACTTCTACATCGGAGCCTTAAGTGCAGGCTGCATAGTCTGGGGCATACTGATCGGTACTATGGGGCTCCAGATTCCGGCCACGCTTCTTGCATGGACTACGACGCAGGAAGACCTGCCGCTTGGAGAGAATGAAAAGAGATGGACAATTTACTTCAAAAAGGAGCCTCAGGGTCCAAGGACGTTTAGCGGTTTCCTCGTCCTGCTCCGAGCTGTCGCCAACGGAAGTACCCTGATCTATTCCGCATGGGTTCTGCCACCCCGTGATCCCAGCAAGAACCTCAATCTTTCAAAGTTCCTGCTGGCTTGGCTTGAAGCTCCCCTGGCTTGCTTGATGGCTTTGGCTTGCATCTATTCGCTGGCCATGATCTGCCTTCAGCCGAAAGAATCAAAGGAGTCAAGGCACTATGTTGAGTTTGCCAGAAGGGTCCGACGGCTTGGGCGGTTTTCAGCCTTGTCCAGCTTGCCGTATGCAAATCCTGCTGCATTGTTGGCCCAGCTTCAGGGTGCAGTGGATGATTTCTTTCAACTGAAAATGCTGAGAACAAAAGATGACCAAGACTTTGGCCTTAATGTGACAAAGGCACGCAAGATGAAAAAGACAGATCTCTTGTCAAAACTCTGCGAGTTGAACTGGCCGCAGCTCTTTGGGCTTGGCTATGTGGTCTTCTCGCAGATGGTCTATGTTTCTCTCTTTGCCTGTGCCGCTGTAGGTTCTGTGGTCGTCAAAACATCGCAAGTGAGCTTCATCTCGGAGAAGCCATGGCACGATTGGACAGTTGCTGAGGGAATCCAACTTGCATCGTTCATCAATGCCCTCAGCGGACTCGGTTTCGATCCAAACGTCGTTGGGCTTGTGAAGGTGCTGCGAGAGCGATATGGACGATATGCACATCTCAAGGAGAAGCTCGAGTCCCTCAAGGATGTTGAGTTGGTGGCTTCCTGGCAGAGGCAAGTGATAAAGTGCGCCAAGAAGATTGAGGACCCCAAGAAGAGCCAGCTGTCTCTCATCATGTGTGCGCTCACGCTTGACCTGAAAGACTGCTGTGAGATCATGGATCCAGAGTACGGGGACGAGGACTGCGAGGCTTTTGGGGCAGGGATGCCGCGGTTCACTGGTAGTTCAGGCAGTTCTTTCACAATGGTATTGGAATTGAGTTGGTCTGCATGCTTATTCTTGGGGCAGGGATCAATGCGGTTCGGTTCACATAATCTCTGGTTCCAGTTTTTGCTGGTTCCCACCAGGTCGTAGAGGTGCACCATATAAGAGGGATCCCCACCGTAAGGGGCAGAAATTGTTGGTTTTGGACACAAGCTGGCTTGTCATGTGTTGGGCCGGCTGCGTGAACTCCTCTTTTTTTGGTGTTTTTGCGTGCAGTTTGTTCGAAAAAGGAAGGATGATTGGGGCTCGCCCGGAGGCCCAAGGTTGAGGTTGTCAGGGGATTCACCTGGCCCCGAAGGGACTTTGGTTCATGCGGTTCGTTGCTTATCATCTGTGGGGTTTCGGCACCATGGTTTCATGCTTGTTGCTGAAGCAGTTGCTGTTCGTTTCTTGCTTCCTGCGGTTCCGGAGATGTTGGGCTCACCGATCACCTGCTCGGTCGGTTCGGTGCAACTCTGAAATGCACGAAGAGTCATAGCGACCTTCATACTCGATGGGATGCGATCGTCGGCTCAAAGAAGCCTCTTCCATCATTTTTTGCGCCTGCAGGCAGCTCGTGTCATGGTCAAGGAAACAGAGTGAGCGCTGAAGCATTTCAGCCTGATCTGGTTCTTGAAAAGATCAGGTCAGTCTGGTTCTTAATTTTTCTCGATGCTAGAGCATCACGGTTCAACTGGCAGTTTCTCGAGATGTTTTGTTCGTGTGAGACCCATCTCACTGATTTGCCTTAGCTTCCGTTCCATACTTGCTCCATTCTGATTCCAGACCAATGTGTCTTGCAAAGACTCCATTTCAGGCTTTCGTAACTGTATGGCACTTGATGTGGGCTCAGGCTCTTCAAACCCTACGGAGCAAGTGGGTTAGGTCCCGAGATTAGCACAGTTTTGTCACAGATAGGGTGGGAAGGCCTGCTTTTGTAGCGTTCATGACAACTGTAACCAAGGTTAACCCATAGATGTGATAAGATGGAGTTGCCACCAGAGATCCATTGATACAGTGCTACGACTCAAGGTGTACATGTATTTACAGTGAATCATGACCAGAAGAGTAGGAAGGAAAGGTGGCAGCAACAAGGGAGGGGGACTCGAGAAAAAGTTATCTTCTCTGCTCCAGCCGGGTCTCGAAGCTCTAAAACCATAAACCCCAGACCCCTTTTGGCCATCTGCCATCTAGCGGATTCGAAGGAATATCTACGGCGCATTGGTGGCAGTCACGAGACATGTTAATTGCTGGGATTAAAACAGGAATCTGCCCACAACATGCGAGGCCATGCAAAGGGATCTTCATGCAAATGGACACGCAAAATGCATGCAAACAAAATGGTGTGGTCGGGAAGGACAGCCTTGCACAAGCAGGATTGACAAACGTCATAGGGCTTGAAAGGGGCATTTCCAAATAAGCCTAAAAGAGCATGCGAAAAGGTTCTTATCAAGAAACCTTAGATTGTCTGTTCTTCTGCAGTCTAGAACACAGCAGTTCCTTGCTCTATATATGAATCTGCGTTTTAGCATTTGTAACTTATCAAGGATGACGCCGGTCTCTCATCCCCAACAAAGATGACATGTGCCAGCCGCTGCTGCCGGCATCCTTTGCTAAGCTATGAATATGCGTTTACGCGCCAACAGGAGGCCTTCACTTGCCCTGACTTGCTCCATGCTGGCCGTGGTTACAAAGAAGGGCAGCTTCACAGCGTGTCATAATTCAGTCCAAAAGCCTGCTCAGCCCAAAAGCAAGAGAGCTCAACAGCACGAAATAAGGCGATGACTTCATATCTCTTCGCAGCCTGAAGTTGGGAGACTTGCCAGCAGATTCAGATACACTTCTGCGTACACCGGGCAAAGTAATAGGTGGAGTACCGAACGCTCCCATACGATAGGCGAGGATCTGCCATGCTAGGGGTGGGTCTTGCGTAGTGTAGAGCAAGGTCTGTTTTACATCGCTTTACATCAAGGTCAGTCTTGTGACTGACGCTCCCATGAGCCAGGCCGCTGTGCCGGTGTGCAGCCAAAGTGATGTGTAGGCATAGCCTGCTTCACGAAGAGATGGAGAGTTCATTGATTCAGGTTGTGCTCGTCGCATTCCGAAGCTGCTGACGTAAGAGAACTGACCCATTGTCTTCCAGTGTCGCCAGACATCCCTTGGAAAGGGTTGGCGTGGCTTTCGGCTGAAGCGCCAGAGACTGCGGTCTGGCTGCATGGAGATCATCCCCTGCATCACAAGGCAGCGCGAAATGTAGCTAGTTGGCAATGCAGTGTGCAACCATGCTGAGACCGCTTTCTTTGGCATGACCTTCCCGGAGGAATGCCCATCCATGCCTTTGCATAGGGTTGGGGTGCTCAGTGCTTCCAGCAGGGGCCTGAACGATAGAATACGCTGAGAGAGAAGCTAGAAAGGAATCGAGAAGTTGCAAAGAGAGGTTGGCAAGATGGTGAGAGGCAAGGCAAGAACTGGAAGGGGCTGCTTCAAGAGCTGACACTGGTGCAGGGCTGAAGGATGTTGGAGAGTGCGGTAGAGGTCCAGGAAAGGTGCAACACCCGTGCGGCAGGTGCACGAGGACTGCTTGAGTGCCGACCTGAAAAGGGTCCGCGGACCGCAGCGGACAGAGGACGAGTTCTACATGAGATTATTGATTATCGCGAGCTTGTTTCGGCAATGGTTTGGAAATTCAGAGGGTTGACAGACGAAATTCACAAAAGTATAAGCTGGCAAACGACAGCAGGCGACGAACACAGTATTCAAAAGCATAAAACGACAGCAGGCGACGAACACAGTATTCAAAAACGTAAAACGACAGCAGGCGACGAACACAGCATTCCAAAACATAGCCGCCCCCTCTGTCAGGATCTGTCAGGCACCGCAAAATAATGGTTGCACACGCAGGTTGCAAATTGAGTGGTTGTGCAGCATAGCCAATGGTTGCGTGCTGAGCGGTTGTGCAGTGGTTGCGCGTTGAGTGGTTGTGCATTAACGCTTTGCCAGTGGTTGCGCATTGAGTGGTTAGTCGGCATAGATGTTTTGCCAGTGGTTGCGCGCTGAGCGGCTCAGCGGTTGTGCAGCGGTTGCGCGTTGAGTGGTTGTGCAT